ATACATTAAAATGGTTGACAGGAATGACAAACATTACACCAGCTTCGTTAAGGCGCTCTAGAACTTTCAAAAGCTTTTACGTAATTTTACGCACAGAAACGTTAAAAATGCTCCATATGAGAAAGCATTTTTAAAGTGTCTATTAATATAGCTGCACAGTAAGGTTTTTAAGTAAAAAAAAAGACGTTAAGTTAAGTACACATAACAGATGCGGCATAAGTAACGATAAAACAACAGTGGCGTATAATTTTTCACCAGACATTAGGGATTAGGAGGTAAGGATCATATGTCCGAAGTTTTAAAAGCTGGTTCTGAAGTCCCCATCACAGATTATTATTTTTAACTGGGAGAAATGGTCTGGTTTAATAAACAGAACTTGTACTGAAACAAACACTGTTACTTAAACATAACAGTAGGTGCCAATTACCACATCGATATGGTGCAAGGCGTGTCGGAAAACAGAAAAACAAGAATTTCTCAATAAAATCAAAAGTTGACTGAATGCAACACCAGTGATCCTTTGGTCGGATGCTCGATCGGTGCTTAGAGTCAGTTCCGCATTCGGGGGTTTTAACTTTTAACTCGGTTCTAATTTCTGCTATGAAAATTGCATAATTGGGGCTAGCCGCAAGAAGGATTTTGTATTGAAATGAGAGTCAAAAAATCAAAAATTGTATAACTAAAAGAAAAACTGTTAACCTGTTCCAGAACTTTTACATCTTCCTGCCTGGATTAACTAAAATGCGTCTTGAATAATCCGACCCTGGTAAACTTTAAATTTTCAATGATGATATTGAGACGCACTCTCGAAAAATACAGATAGAACTTCCTCGAACAACCGAAACCACGCTTGGGAGATAGAGCCAACATTTCTGGCACATGTCATTGCTCTTTAAACACCGTCAGTAATTGCTACAAAACTTTATCTCCCGAAGATTGATATTCTTTTCACTATTTGAGAAATAAGGAAACTGATAACGTGTCACGTTTAATTTGCAATCAGAGGGCAGAAACAGGAAAATTTTTCTGTTATAATTCGAGCTAGAGGAAGTTGTAATTTTCCTTTCTTGTCAATGATGTAAGCGAAAGTAAAACATCACGCAAGTTCCTTACTTGATAAGTATCTACATTCCCATTACCTATCATCTCATACAAGTATCTGAAAATTCAGTCGTAGAGTTCACAAGTCGCTATTAGCACTGAGCACCGTCCTTCTCCGAGGTAAATATAGAGGAACTTGAAGAAGAACAGACAAAGTTTTCTTCTCTAAACTGACAACTATAGCCTTGCAAAGATCGCGCCTTTTGTAAGAAACGTTACCTTAACATAACTACTTTAAAGACCAATAAAAACACTGTGTTGTGAAATTTTGAAGCATGCGATGGTAAGATCCAGTAAATCGTTATGATAAGAGCCATAATGGTGTTAGAGTTTGTGACTTGTTACCCTTGGCGAATCTTTCTATTAAAACTAAAAAATGTCAAGTTTGTTGCTATCAGTCCGAGGTAATCTTTCTATGCTTAGTGATCATTGCTTCGTTTTCGTTTATTCTTTGGTGGTCGTCTGCCATTGCCATATTACACCTTACACTTTAGTTTGCTAAAGTAGGTTACCACAAGAGAACTCACGAGAAAAAAAAGCGCCATTTTAAAGCAACTATAGCCAAGATATTTCAAGCAATTTTGCAACTTGGACTCGACTTAAAGAGATCATGTTGAAGAAATATTAGTGTGCTGAAATAGAAAAATCCAAAGGAGGAAATAATAAGTAAAAAAGAAAGAAGAATGCCGGGCTAAGCATGGAAAAGAGTACAGAGAATAACAATTGTAAATTGCGATCCTGAGTTTTTATTTTTTAGGAAACTAAACTGACAAAATATTAGTTTGGTCAAATTGAGAGGTCTAGAAGGGGAAACATGAGTAAAAAACGGGGAAAAGGATGTTAAAGGATGGAGATGATTGAAAGGGATTCTAAATCGTACGGACTTCGACAGCGAAAAAAGATAGAACCAAGATATTCCAAGATAGAACAATAGCGACGTACGTGTAGATTCGTTTAAAAGCACAAGGTGTTTCTCAGTTACAAGAAATTAAATAACCTAAGGTCCTTTTTAAAGGCAGGGTTGTTTCATATCAAAAAATAGTAATTTCGCTGGAAAGTATTCTATGTATGAAGTAAGCGCCTCCATCAATTATTTTCTCTATAAATAAAGCTGTCGAACAAATCATTCTATCGCCAATTATTTCAATGACCATTCTAACGCTGACGTCTTTCGTCAGATTATTGTAAAAGTTATTCCAAAAATAGAGTTGACGAAAACCTGACTCCGTCAGCACATATGCCACAGGTGAAATGGTTCGTCAGACGCCTTTAAATGCAATTGCGAAACAATGTCTATGCACAAGCAAGTTTCAAGTAACAATGTCGAACCACCTCACTGACACCTGCGCGGGAAGAACCTTATTACATTAAAATATGAACAGTGTTACGTTTTCAAAATTTCACATTTTAAAACTGATGGCTCGATTCTCAAGATTAAAATCCAGTAGTTATGATCCAGTAATTAATATCTCCAAGGGATTTAGGGTAGGAAAACCAAGCAACAAGTGTTTGTCGATCAAGGAGAAAAAATCGTCTAGCGAAGTTTAAGAAACAAATATGGATGACTAAAAATTTAAATGAAAATGGTGCTTTCTCATTTAAAAGTGACAGTGCAAATAAAAGACATAGAATGGGATTTTAATGACTTATTCTTTTGACGAATTGTTCATGATCATTATTACATTAAAACACACCCGCTCTCGTATCACAGACAAAAGCAGAGGAAATATAATATTCAGTACAGTATAACTGTTATATACTGGCTGGTGAAAGTAATTATCACAATTTAATAAGCAAATGTGTACCTTCTTATCAAAAAGTTATTGCATGACCGAAAGGTCAGATATTAGCTTATCAATCTTGGGCAGATACCAGTTTTTACCACTAGAGCACGAGCACGGTCATTAAATACGAAGGAAAAAAAAACACTGGTGGCAAATTGTCTTCGATGACCACGCAAATTTGCGGAACAAAACTTGTAAGAAGGTGAGCCAGTATGACAAGCCCAATATCCAAACGCTTTTTCGAAAAGAATTGTTCTTGAAATTGAGAAATGTATGACCAATATTCGTGTATGAAAGAGGTTTCCTTAATTTTAAGTGGAATTAATATATACCTAAGTCACGCTTTCGATAGAGTTTGGGAGTCATTTCTAACAGAACATTTCAGTCGACCCAACGAAATTTTACGAACACCCTAAATATTTAAAGCAATGAGAGATGAGTAGTAAAATACTGTATGTTATTTCCTTTGTTTGAAACTGTACAGATATCTAAGTACGTTAAAGAGAGCGTCACTTCATTGCCTCGAGCTGTATTAACTTTAAGGACAAAATTGGTTGTTTTATTAAGTATTCTACTTACAGGAGCTATTAGCGGTATTTAGATCGATTTTTAGAGGCGACTGTCATCTCTTAGACTTCGTGATGGCCTAGAGGCGGGCATGAAGACAGCGACAACCGGTCTAAAGAATCGTAATCTAGAGGCTTTGAGATTCGTTTAATGAAAACCTCTGATATTTCTGTGTATTGGACATTTTTGGCATAGATTACGACTGCTACGAGAGAGGAAGAATAATTCTAAGATAAAGATTTCAACGCATGTCGAGACAACAATCCTATCGTCTTGTTCTTGTCAACGAGACAGGAAAAGAAAAAATTAAAAAAAAAAATCAGTATTCGTTTCCCATGTTGAATCTTTTGAAAGGTATAATTGTGCGGTTTTAATTTCAGGGAAGTTCTTTTGAGTCATGACAGAGACTTTGTTCTCTCTAGAAGTAAGGACTCTGAACCTCTGAATAGCCAAAGCTACATATCTCTATCACGATTAAATCATGGATCAAGCGATATAAATCTTAATAAAACCTTTAATTCTTGTTTCTCACCGACACATTTCCACCTGCTTCTCCAGAAAACGGGTTTTTCAGCAAGGTGTCGCATTTTCTTCTTATTTATCTTTCTTTTTTTCGGTAAACAACGCCCCTGACTTGATAGGACATAAAAAGACAAAACGTTATTTTAACCGGTGTATTGGGAGTTCCGCAATGCGACGACTTCATTAAACCTCTGTAAAAGAACAAACCATTTCACATGTAGCTAGATAGTTCTAGATTGTTCTTAATGATATCGTTTGAGTTTCCTTCATCACCATATGCTAGCAAGGTTTATCTGCGGAACAGTTCGGAAATTTAAGACCATCCTTTGAAAATCCTAAAATCATGCTTCAAGAAAATGCTCACTGACAAACTATCGAGCATCAGGAACTGCAATATTGTACTAATATGTGTTCGACATTAACTCAACTCTATTTTTGGTCCAAAAAAGTTAATATCAAATTTTATGGCCGCCTTTTTTAGCCCACTCTATCTTCAGACAAAGGGCATAACAATGACAAAAGCAAATAAGTTCTGTAATGAGGCGTCTGAGAAATAAGATCAAGTGAAAGTTTGTCTGAATTCCAGCCAAATGCAAGCTAAAACTTGAGCGCGAGGGCTGTGGAGGTTTTGCGAAGAGCTGCCGTGAGGGCAGAGAGTGAAAAAAGGAAGTTGTAAACCGTAATCTTGAAGTTGATCGCAGAGACTTCTTACACTGCCATAGAGAGGTAATCGGATATGCATACGTAGGAAGTGCACGCAAATAGGCCTCATTTGATAAGTGATTTGAAGTTTTAAGCCTCTTAATATCAGTTTCAGGCCGGATAACACTTTCCCCACCTGCCTGTTACTTTATTACTATATATAAATGCAAGTGGTTGCAGGTATCATCGGGCTTTAACTCGTGGTAGCGAAGAATACTGTAATCCAGGATTAGACTGTCAAACTGATCTAAGTAGCACACCTTTGCAAACTGAGCTCAAAATGAACAAAACTTTACTATGTTCAAAACGGGTAAGATTATTATTATTATTACCATTGTTATTTATTTTACGTTCTTTTCTCGTGATTCAATGTTTTGTTCAAGGCTGGATTTTAATAGATAGTTACTTAAGTTGTCAAAAACTTGTCATGACATACATTCTAGCTCTTAAATCGCACTCCAGTGACTTTGGTAACACTCTAATCTCAGATAGACATGAACGCAGGAGCGCTAAGACCAATGAATTCTTAACTTAATTAATTCTTAAGACTTAATTCGTAACTTTTTTTTAAGGCCAATTGCACCTCAGGAGTTCATCTTTTGCTTTAAATTTAAGTGGTGCTTTTTGTTTTTAACACTAAAAGTGCATTGTGGAACAAACTACCTCTGTTGGAAAACAATTTTGAACGCTTTTTGTTGACACGGAAGATGCTCAACCTTCTGACATCAGTTTTATTCAAATTCTTGTAACAAGTTCCAAAATCCTTTCTCAAAACCCAAGCCGAGTTTGCCGGTCCAAAAAAGAAGTGAGATTAACTGTTTTAACGAATATAGATGTTAATTCTAGTTAACTTCACAAAAAATCATCAATTTAGAGCCTCTAAGTCCCAGCGAACCTTAAAAACATAGAGTACAGATAACAACAGTCATAAAAAGTTCTCGTTATGTTTTACTTCCTACAGATTCTATTTGTCCTTAGCTTCCTCGTCTGCACAGTAACCTTCATAAACGGACACCCAAACGCATTTTCCTTTTCGGAATCAAGCTGGACTCCGGAGGGTTCCGAAGATGACGTCAGTTCCCGATCCTTATCGTACGAAGATATAACACCATCCGAAGAGATGGAGGATTTAGATACAGAATACAGTTTAGATGACGTGGAAGACGATCTAGATGATTTTGATGAATACAACTTTTTGACAAACAACAAACGAAATCCTAATTCTGTAAGTATTCGCAGTTGTGCGAAAACAAAATTGGTTGAATTTCACTCGGATACATTCGAAAAGGGTGAACTTCATCCTGTCTCGTTATTCTTTACTGATATCCCAGAAGCACAATACCAGGATGTAGTAAAACAACAGGTGACTAGCTATCTTCCATTTTCTATGTTTGGTGCAGTTTTAAACGTTACAAATTTCAAACCAAATTACCGCTTGATTTCGGAAACAATGGCGAGTTGTGAAATACTACAATTCTCAATATGAAATTTTTAACGGTAAAACATTGATGAATCGCCCCTTAAAAGGCGATTTCCTGATCTGGGAGATGTAACAGTCACCCACATATAAGAATAAACTCTTTTTACTTTATACAAATCGCGCTCAATGGCCGGACATTTTCAAACGTAATGAGTTCTAAAAGATGTAGGTTATAGTATTCAAAGGCATCAGGCTGCTGCGAGCGAGGAAAAAGGGAGTTAGCTGTATCGTGCACTCGTGATAATGGTTATCTGCAGCGAATTTTAAGGTGAACCTTTTGCACGATAACATCAATCAAAAGAAATTATATTCAGCTCGGCACCTTTTTAAAATGGAGTTTTTTAATCATTTTATAGAGGGCCTTTAATCAAACTTTCAATTAAATTCAAATCCTTACCCTTCCCGCTAACATAATGCAGAATATGCCACTTATAATCTCCAAGGTGTCCATTAAAATGAAGAAATAAATTCAAGAGATACTTTTATAACAGATGAAGCATGCACAATTCCAGCCTTGGTAGTCGAAGTCCACACCCTAGCAGGGTATCCACAAACTAAGTGTTCACGGTAGAGTTTAGGTTTCTAATGCAGTCAAGTGAAGTAATCCAAGAACACATCGATACATGTATCATTTTACTATGCACGTTACAGTGGTTCAATCGATTAGAAAGGTGCAGAACTGTGCAGATCCAGATCCAGGCCATGTTCGTGTACAAACGTGTAATTCTTTGATAGCTTTCTCCGATTTAGCTTATTCATGAAACTCCTTCTGCCCTAACACAACAATCACAAAAATCAGTGATGTCCAGGTAAAGAATGACCTTAAATACTCTCTTTTCTTTACTGACTGAATTTTACTTTCTATAATAATTTTTTTGTTTTATTTTTTTCTTTTAGAGAGCCGATAAAAGTTTCAGGAATTTTGCTAACTATTATATGGTTGTAAACTCGAAAGGAGCTGTAGTAGGAACAAAGGACCTGTCCAAGTGCATGCAGAGCGGTGAGTGGTTCTAACTGTTCGCGTTTATTCCAGTAAGACATTCAGAAACACGCGGAGAAAGTTGTAGCAAAAAGCGAGGCTACGTTCACAGCAGCTCGTTTGAAAACTTATACACTTACTCCCAGTGTAAATCGACCAAACAAAGCATTTCTTTTGGCCCTAGAGCAGATATCAGAATATGTCATCTGATAAGTTACTTAGTCTAAAAACCATCAAAACTCCTGATTTTAAGCGAATGCATGTTACCCAATTTAACCTACAAAGAATGAACAATGGTCTAATTACACGGACTGGAGTCGGGGAAATTGAGTCAAATATACGAGTTCGAGGCCTAAATGGATAAATACTTCTTTTCAAGGTTAATCAAATCGAACAGCCTTCCTTTAGACTATAAAGTGAATTAAAGGTTTCTTCAACATTATCCATAAAAAACAAAACAAAACAAAAACAAAACAAAAACAAATTCAATTTAAAACCACCGGTATGAGCACCAAGAATGTATGTAAAAACACTGAGGCGTGGCAGAGCGAATTCATAGTATCAGTAATTATAATTGGCACTCAACTCTGATGATAACTTCCGCTCAAATTGTCGAAACGTCAGTCACTATTGCGAACAACAGTCCAATCCAGGAGTATTCTCACCCAGCCAATCAGACTTCATCATGAAATGTTACTCCCCGATTCCAGCCATGTATTGTTTACAGTTAGAATTGTTCAATATTTCAACAATTATTCCACCAAGTGGAGGTAAATAGTAGTGGATAATAGTTGTTCATATCAACCTTTTCCACCCGACCTAAGGAAAACAAGTGTCTTAGCATATGCCTCACAAAAAATCAAAGAAATCGGTTTATTTCCGTCAACAGACCATAAAAATGGTCGGAAATTAACGCGCGCTTTTGTCTCCTTGGCTGCTCGAAGTTGAATACTACTTGATAATCAAATATATGCCAGCCAATCAGCGTGAGCGAAAATAACTATTCACCTGTACGTTATAAACCAATCACAATTTTGTATACATCACTCAGCCATCACACAGGTAGATAGAAGTTTTCGCGTGCGCTAATTGGCTAGCTCGTAACTGATTACCATGTAAAATTCACATCCGAGCAACCGACGAAACAAAATTGCGTGTCCAGAATTTAATTTCCCACCATTCTTTTTTAATTTTTTTGGTTTCTGTGTGACATATGTTCAGTTTCAGTGAAACTGGTAGATATTTACCACGGCGCCCTCCGTAAATATTCACCACTAGCCGCCTCCACTTCGGTGATAAATCGTTATATATTGATATTTTGGTTCATTCCATTTTGTTTCTGCAAATTGCAATTCAGCGGTTGTCCTGCAGGTGGATTGTACGTGTAATAAGTTTTTTTTAACGCATGGGGCAATAGCTTCTTCAGCAAAAGTAACAGTTTCTGTCAGTTAAGTTTGATTTCTTGAACCCTTTACATCTTAACGTCAGTGTCCATATTCTCCATACAACTCTCGATTCACTTCCTTTCGTATTGACAAAAATAATTTGTTTAACTATCGAAGCTCCTTAGGTTAGCAGATGATCTTAGGAAGCGATTTTTCACATTGAGCTAGTTTATTAATACTGTTTTCACTTTCTCAATGCAGGTATATTTGAGGTAGGAAGGACTCCTACTGGCAAACCATTTTACTGGAATAAGAAAAGTCGAAAGTACTTAGCCATCGACCCGAACGGAAACGTTTACATGTCGGTAAGAAGGGAATTCTTGGGAGTAAATATTCCGAGCAATGACAGTAGTTTGATGAACATAAAATCTCCCAAGGTGGGCCCGGGGCATTAAAAGATAATTTGGTTTTATCAACTGAATTGATAATAAAAGTAACTGGCCACATTAGTGTTTCTCTCTGACAAAAGGGCTAACGCTCGAAATGCTAGCTTAAGAACCTGCCAACATAGTGATTGAAAATTCTCATCTCAGTGAATAAAACCAAATTATCTTGTAAGAGTGGAGAAAATCGGTCTAAAACCGAAAAATTTGAATACGAATTTAGAAATATGGGTCAAACTTTTTAAATTACCGAAACCCCACTTTTTCAAGGAAAATTGTGAACTAAAATGCCCAGTTTACTTCATTTAACGTTAAAGGCCGATAAAGAAACCCCAATCAACAAAAGCAGGCACTAAAATTATACCACAGCAAAATGGGTAGATCATAAAGAGAAAAAACAATTATACACTCATATAAAACAAAAATCAATACGCATGCGTAGATAGCTCTCGCAAGCGCGACAGAGTAAACGGACCGAACATCTGAATCAATGCACCGGGGAAGGGAAAGGGTTTGTCATCAAACCTTTAACCGGGAGGCTCTGGTCACAAGCCCAGCCCCTTTCTTGGACATGACGATGTAAAATTTGACCACTTTCCTGAAGATACCGCACCCATGAATGACAAATGTCCTCGCAGTTTTGAATACTACAACTTGTAAATTTCACATTATCCCTAACGTTTGAAAAAAAAAAAACCGTCGTTTTCGAGCGGAACCTTTCATTCCCTCTTTCCCTCTTTAAGATATAAAAGGAATTTACTTTTCTTTTGCAGCCAACTCAAAACAGTGACACTGTTATCTACACAATCAATGATTCCAAAGACTTGAGTATATATTTATATCGCATTGTTGGTCAAAACCAGCGACTATATCTGGACCTCTCCCCACAGAGTAGCACGGTTGGACCAGGAAACACCCGCAATACAACTAAATTTCGCTCTAGAAATGGCTTAAAAACCTGTTAACAAGTGTTAGACGTAGTCAATTTTAAGAACTTTTAGATTCTAGGACGAGTATTAAAGACCGTGCGTATTGGATTTCACAGTAAGTTATTTTAGAAATTAAAGGAACGTTTAAAATCTTAGCGAAAAACAGTGAATATTGACGTATCTCGCTTTGAGCGACCTGTTTGATCTAAGAAAGTCTCAGATTTCTGTTTCTTTGCTAATCTTTCCCATTAGCTAGAGAGACCATCTAGACCTCTTCTTATAATAGACATACACATATCAGCTGGACTGTTACATCTTAATAAATAAGCAAACTATCTTGGTTTTTTTTTTTTTTTTAAAGAGAATGTAAAACAGCAGGAAGAAAGAGTTTAAATTGATCGTAAGAGTTTAAGGATGGCCTCTCCTGTTCATTACCGACAATGTAGAACGCTACCTTACGATTCACAATAAATATTATAACTTAAAGAAAAAAATAGCTATTTTTTCTTCCAAAACTGCAACCCTAAAAATAGAAGATTTCTTATATATTAAGTTAAATATATGCAGCTAACCCTTTCTCCCTGATTGGAAAATGTAAAAACCACCAAGGATCGTTAAGCCAAATCGTTTCCGCCTCTTCACAAATCTTGAATAAACAGCGGCAATTGTTATCGCGGGCCTCCAGTTTTAGGACACCGGCTTGCATCGCGCAACTCGAGAATGTCATGTACGTGTTCAAAGCCAGTCTGAGATCCTTACATCTCTATCCACTGAGCTCACCTAACTTATGCCTAAAAAAAATTGGACCATTTTTGGCAACAGATTTAAGTTAAGAATGCACACAGAATAAGTAGAAGACGCGAGAGCCTAACCACAACCTACAACGGCAAAAGACGTAACCTTCCGTTGGGTATTCTCTAGTTACGAGAGGAAGCAAAGGCTTTAACCATAAGAATATTACAAAGTTATTTACGGTTTCACCCCCCGAATTATGGCTGTCGTCATTAACCTTTAAACAATGCCGAAGAGCAATCGATTTGGAGCACGCACGAACACTATCGAACATTAATAATGCCACGAAATTGAGAGAGCCAGCTAGTAAAGGACGATAAAGGACTGGGGAGATACGCGTGAGATAGTTTGAAGCGAGCTCACTTCGTAATATTACGAACATGTTATAAGTACAACAGTAGGCTGCTTTGAGAATTTTACGCTAAAATTGCTAAGCCTTTAAAGAACAGTGATACAGATTTATATTAGACTCTATTCCTCGAATCAGTTAGGATATTGTGAGGCAAGAAAAATCAATAAAATGGAAACAACACACAATCGCTGTAGGTTTTATCATCTGGTTGTTACAATTGCCCAAGGTTACGATTAAAAGTTTAACACACGAATGTAAGGAAAGTTTTTAAAAAATACAAAGTCCGCAATCAAACATTGATGCGATTCCCAACAGCTCACCTTGGAACTGTTACACACTAATAGTTACAGATTACAGTTCAGCATACGATAGAAACTATTATTCCCCATTAAAGAATTGATCTCATTATGACGCTACGATAAAGCAACCCAATTTTTTCAATCAAAAACTAACATCAACGATAAAGAAATCGTAAAAAAGGTAGGTTACTAACAGCAAAAACAAAGCAGAGGCAATCAGAAAACACAAAAAAGGAGGTTGGTGATGATCTTACATTATTCATGCGCCATAAGCAAACTCCTTTGATGTCCTCTGTCTTGAGGCAATTAAGGCTCCTACACAGTTCGCATCACGTGATAACCGCGTGATATTCAGGCGTAAGTTCTCCAGTGATTGATGAACAGTTCGTTCGGCGTTTGGTACGGAGTGCTTATCAAAGAATTCCTGCCGTCAATAAACAACAAAAAATGCTACAATCAGTGGAAAGCAATGAAAACTTTCTACTGCTGCCCACTGGCTAACCAATAGGGACCCTGGGAAGATACTTCCATTGTGATCAGTACAAGATGAAAAAAGATCACAAACTGAAGTTGATATCGGAAATAACTGCATCATTCTCCTGACAAAAGTAATTACTCGATTTCTACACCTTGCCTTGATTCTTGAAACTTCTGAAAACTGGTGAAAATTTTGACAATTTGAACTAAAACTTGAAACTTGAAACAGGATATCCCCTCACGCTTTTCTTAACACGAAAGAACATTGTAAAATCTGCAAATACATGAAGTGGAACTGATCTGTCTCGTGTACAAACTTTCAAATCGTTAATTACATTATGAAAGACTACAATTATATACTTTTCAAGCTCTATAAGATAACAAAAACTAGTTTCCCTAGACTATGACTGAGGCAAATACAGTTAAAATGATACAAAAGTATGTGAACCATGGCAAAAATGACATATTTTGCACAAATTTCACGAGTCGTTCAAAAACACTAACATAAACAAAATATGGTGACACTATACACCGAATGCAAATATGGCGTCCAATTTGAATTGCCATTGTTCTGGACTGACTAGCCTCGTCTTCACGTGGAAACACAAAAAGATTATTACATGTGTGAGGCTAGTCAGTCCAGAATAATGGAAATTCAAATTGGACGCCATATTTGCATTCGGTGTAAAGGAGCTGTACTTTATAGAGGAAGAACATTGACGGCTCCATTTACATGTATAATTCAATGGCACCTGGCGGATCCAGCTAATTTACAAGCAATCCTCTCTAATAGTCGTAAAATTAAAATTAGCGCTTACAGTAGTGATACGCGAGAACACTTGCCTACTTACAAGCCTGGACGGAGTAGTACACGGGTTTACTGAGAAACAAAATTGGTAATAAGGGTTGGACTCGAACCCAAGACCTCCCGAAATCTCTGTAAGATGCGCTCACACAATCAGCTGCGCGCCTGCGCAGCACATACGATGTACTACAATACTAAAAGTACCACAATGTGTGCTGCTTCAGTAAAAATACACACACAGTTAGTAGTTCACAGATAGGAGTAGTTTCCATAACAGACTACTTCCTGTTTAACCGAGTTAATCCGCTCAAATATTGACACGCGTGTTGCCTCGAGGGTGTCGATCGCTCCTCGCTCGCGTTCTCGGATCTCCGCGATCATTTCATGGGCTGTTCGCGAGACTTCTCGCTTTGCTGTCGCGACGTTGCTTTCCAGCTTCGATATTGTTTGCTCAAACTGTTTGATGAATTCACAAAGCTCACCTTCCTTTTTCCTGATCATTTTGGCACCCGACATGATGTTATCCTTTTTGTCGTGTGCTGCTTTGTCGAGCAGTACAACTTTGTGGTTTTGATGATCCGTGAATATGCAAATTTGGCATATGGAAACTTGAGACTGAAAGCAAAAGAATCGTGCAATGTCTCTCTCGAGAACAAATGGCTGCCGCTTTATCAGTACTTCGTAATCTTCTACTTTGAAGTCCTTGACTGGCGCGACTTTGTGTCCTTCAAATGTTGCACCGTCAGCAACTGATGCGCGTTGAAACAATCGAGGCAGTGATACATCTGAGGATTGTTTTTTCGGCACTGACAACAAGTAATGCTACTTGCATCGCCGCTCTGTCGAACGGCACGGAATCTCAACAAATTTTTGAGGGAAAAGCTGTTGGGCAAACGGTCAAAGCGATTTCCTTCTGGCAAATCGATCGCTGCCTGACACTCGGGGCATCGGAATTATCCTTATCTCTGGCTCACTCTTGCATGCTTCTCCAAACACTTGCAGCAGAACGTGTGAAGACATGAAATAGTTTTGGGTTCGATGTAGGTATCAAGGCAAATGGAGCAAGTCACTTGGTGCTTGATGTTTTTCAAAAGGGACTCCATTACGATCGATAAACACGAAAAGACTCATCAAATCAGTCAAATAAACAACTGGCGCCTGAAGGGATGGATTCAGATTTCTGAGAAGTCAGAAGAAAGTCCGTCACAACTCACTACTCGTAACCAATCAAGGAGCTTCTCCGCAAAATTAGAGTGCTTGACTGTCCACAAAGGTAAGGGTTACGTGTCCGATTTTATTTAAAGAAAACTCACTGTATAGTTACTACTCGACTCAATTTTGTTCATTCACCGAACAGAGCAAGTGACTGCTTGAGGCTAATTACGATCAAAAAGCTTTTCTAGGAATGTTTGTCTATTGCATACAATGACTCGTCAGCCATTGTCTTGAAACGTTATTTCTAGACAATCCGGTTCGTTGAAGAAAAATGAATGAGTTTCACGATTTGTCGACAGAATTCACGAAAAAGGGAAAGTCAGGTTCTTAAAGCAAAACGGAAGTGAGGGCACTGATGGAGTCTGCAAAGGGCAACACTTCCCCTACCAACCGTACAATTCAATATGCTCATTTATCACTTTCGCGAGGGATAACATCTGTACATGGGGCATACTTCAATGTTATACTATTTCTTATTTTTTAATCTCTATTTCATGACAGGCCAATCTCACTCACGCGAACACATTTCAGTTTGGCTGTATTTCCTTAAGGCCCTTTTCAGTTCAGAACTACTTAACGCTTCCCTGCGGTTACAGCAGGCTTACCGCGGGCTTACCGCTTACCGCAGGCTTACCGCGGTTACCGCAGGCTTACCGCGGGCTTACCGCTTACCGCAGGCTTACCGCGGTTACAGCAGGCTTACCGCGGGCTTACCGCTTACCGCAGGCTTACCGCGGTTACCGCAGGCTTTTCGAGCGCCGCACTCCAAGAGCTCCCAGCGACGAGCTAACATCAATTTTCTTTTTCACCCCTTTTTTTTCCACTCGCACGAAGGACCTCGCCGAAAAGGAGGGACTGCTACTTAAAGGGTTGCTTGACCAGCACAGGTCACCCACTCATAGTTAACTATTTAGGAAGGCCACAGGTTTACCAGTTTATATAATGTTACGTGTTTACCCTCTTTAGTTAAAGTTGATTATTATTATCATTATAATCGGAGATTGGCGGGAAAATTTTCTTTCTGTGATCGAGCTCTTGTTCCTCAGACTCTAAATATCACAAGGTTTGGTTGCGCTGTTTTACTATTGCAGTATTGGGACACTGTTTCTGTGACTTGCTTCTTCGCTTTGATTTCCTTGTTCACTTCCTCTTGGATTATTTTTATTTTGCAGAAGAGTATAATATTTTTGCCTGAAGATACACTAAATAACTTAAGCCAAGAAAACCTCTCTTGTACTAACGACATTAATACAGAAGATGTAAGCACTGCCGAAAGTTTCACCTCACAAAATGCTAACCCCAGCTCCCAGAGAACGAGGTAGAATTTGGACAATGCACAAGGGAGGGTCTAAGGCGAGCTCTCTTCGAAGCACGCTCGGCCTTGGAACATGAGACTTTTATTACTAACAATAATGATTTGCATTGGCTGAAACAGCACTAGAAATTCTACACCTGATTTATTTTAGCATAAAGCATTAATTAAAGTTAACTGAAGAACAGACTGAGGCTGAAATTTGTATTACACGTCTGTTCCTCCAATCTATATATCTTAATAACCAAGCGCGAGGGCCGTACTAAGAGAATATCGGCCTGAGGTCTTGATAGTACAAAAAAGACCGAGGGCCGATATTCTTCCAGTACGGTTCCGAGCAAGCTTGGTTAATAAGAGATTTATTATACGACTGAAGTTCAAAGGGACACAAGTGCGGTATCATTCGGGATCATTCGGGACAGTGCCCGGTCCAATACTGAGAGAATATTGACCGGCAAAAGAGCATTTTGATTGGTTGANAAAAAAAAAGCGAGGTCGGTTAAAAGGTGAACAGAAATGACACGGATCATAAGTCAATCATACCACACGAGCAAGTTCCTTTAGTATCTATTGTCTTGAAGCCAGGCTCTAACACTGTCCGCATCACGTGATAACCACGTGATATTCAGGCGTATGTTCTCCAGTGATTGCTGGACAGTTCGCTCGGCGTTTGGTACTGAGTTCTCATCAAAGAAATCCTGCCGTCAATAAACAAAAAGATAACAACAACAATCAGCGGAAAGATATTAAAGGAGTCGTGCCGTGAAAGTTTTGAAGCTTTCTTTACATTATGAGTTGTTTGGTAAATCGACCCAATAGTATTTGGCTCCAAAACACTTCGTGCAAGATCGACTGTATTAATTTTCATCTCATCAAAAGTTATCATCATATAATATAAATATTGAAATGAGCACTCTTTTTAACTACAATTGCGGCTTCAATTGTCTGCGCGCCTCGCTCCCATGCATTCAGCCGCAAGCGACGAACAGCAAATTGTGAAACGTCCCAAAGAAATCTTCAAATTGAAGTGGGTAGCAACAAGGATGCAATAACTGTAGCCAACTCCTTCTATACCACCCTCCTCCATCAGAATACAAGATTGAAAAAGCTCGATATTTTTAGACACACCATCAGTGATGAATTTAAAATTTCTTGAAATTTTCCTTTTATCCAGGACTTTTACTGCGGTACAAGTCACTCTCCAACATTGAATGGGGGAGGGGAGGGGGGGGGGCATTGGGGTCTATTAGAAACCGCAACACTGTAGGAAAAAAAAAACATTCGAAACCGCGAAACTGCAAAAAAATTCGATCAAAACCGAAAACCGCATGTAAAACCGATAAATTTCCCAATAAACCCTAATCGATCCGATACAGTGGTGACAAGTGAGCACTAAGAGTTTTCGCGGCTATTCGAGATCAGTGAAGGCGCATAACTGCCGCCGGCCCAAATTGAAGAGAAACAAGAGAAACCGGATTCCAAATAAGAAATACCGAAAACCGCATCGGATACTAGATCCGAAAACACGTTCGATTTTTGACTAAAAACGAAAACCAAATGCTGAAAAAAAGGGAAAATCCGCAAATCGCAGAGAACCCAAGGCCGAAAAACCGAATATATGTTTAAGTTTTCATCTTTTGACAAAAATGTGGCTGAGACCAAAAGTGTTGCCTCGACTTGGCATATTTTCATAGTTTGGGGGTGTACACCCACTGACTCTCACATATTAATATTTACGTGGTCCCCAAACAGATTAGATGTAAAACCACCAGAAAAGTAAAAAAAAAAGGCCACTCACGAAAACAAGGCTTCGCTTTCCCCTATAAAAATTCTCCGGTTACTTATTTTAGCTTCTAAAGGTCTAAATACTGACAGCTCACGGTGAGTAGACTGAAGGCTTGAAATTATATTTAACAACGATTGTGGCCTGGAAGCTTTGTCAAAAACAAAATATACCAGGGAACGGCGAGGAATATTCCACAATAATGCAAACGATTGTTAAAAATGATCGCGGAAAAAATAATGCATTTATCGTCTTCACTGATAGTTACGCCTTAAGTCTTTCAAAGAGCTTTGGCTCGGTTACACATGTGCTGACTGCGACAATTACTAATCGAAACTCCCTCGAAGAAAAGCCGAGTTATATGTTAACGTCGCAACATTACTTCGGGAGGTCGATAGGGCGTTCTGGTATAATTTCGGGAAGATCGATATCAAATGGTCTGCCGCTGACATATCGATTTGTTTACACCGGAGTGAATGATGACAAATTTGCCTCATCTGATCCCTAACAATAGTCATTCCAAGTTCCGCTTTCCACGACTAAAAACCACTTACTTTGTAAATGCCATAAAAGCGGAAGGGATTGAAACACAACTTATTCAAAATGAATAATTTCTCTTCCGACCCACTTGTTACAAGAATGCGTCCATCTGGCGTTTCTACAATTCCACAAGGGGTTGGCAAACAAGTGGCACTTTGGCCCGTGAAGTGACCGTCCACTAGAAAACAGCTGAACTCGGTTATTGTAAGTGTCACATACAAGAAGATTATCGGAGCTGTCTACAAGCATACAATTTGGCTTTTTAAATTCTCCATCTTCATTCTCTTCCTCTCCAAAGTTGTATAAGAATGTTCCTGACTGATCAAAAGCTTTTCAGTATGCAGCGATTGGCTATCTCAAATACCAGAATCATGTTACTGTAAGGAATGCAGCTGGTTGGACCATTGAGTTTCTCTGGGCCTCTGTCTCCGAATATAAAAATAGATTCTCTCCCCCTTTGACATCACCTGTATCCTTTTACCACCTAACTCGATTACAACAATGCGCTCTTCATCATCCAAACAAACATCATACAGACCCTTAAACTCTACTTCTCCTGAACCACGTCTTCCAAAGCTTTTCACGACAGTCCCCGTTTGGATATCGATCAGTTGTATTCTATCATTTCCATGACCTGACACAAGAATCTCTTCATCATTGAAATACGACACGCCGTTTGGACTTTGAAATTGTCCTGGTTCTTTTCCTTGGCTTCCAATTTTTCTCAAACAACTACCATCTTCATCAAATACATATATACAGTTGCCACCCTCATCTACCACAACTATCTCGCCTTTCATATAACAGCAATTCCATACAAATATTGAAGCGTGTCTCCTGGAAAGAGTTTCAAGTTCAATTCGCCGACAACCACAAGTTCACGTTCTTCCACATTCATCCTATAAGGGCAAGTCGGAACGGATCATCGCTATTAATCTTCACTTCAATGCTACGTAGGCGCCGGATAGTTTGGGTGTAAAGTTCAGTTGAAGATTGCCGTTCTCTGTCTCGTTAACAGTTAAGCTTGTAACATCATTCACGGGTTGTACTAGAAATTCAAGTTGATCTTTGAGATCACCATGGTATAACGTTTTCCCTTCGGATGTTTCAGCGTATAATGTCAACTCTGCTTCTACGCCAGCCTGAAAATTTGGTCTAGTCCTTCAAGTCTTGATCGCTCTGCATCTGCTGTCGGGGTGACCTCAATAACACCCAGTTTCCAGTCCCCCTCACGAGAGGCGGAGGTAAATTTAACGAATGTCGTCTGGTGATGTTTTGGAACTTCAGCTCCACGAAGCTCTTCAAATTTCTGCTTCAAAGTTTCCTTGTTCCGTATAATATCCGTACTTGAGCTTCTCAGCACCAGATTTGCTGCAAACTCAGCCGCTTGCTTCTTTTGTTTTATGAGGATAACACTTCCTGTTTAGCCGAGTTAATCCGCTCAAGTATTGACACGCGTGTTGCCTCGAGGGTGTCCATCGCTTCTTGCTCGCGCTCTCGAATGTCCGTGATAATTTCTTCGGCTGCCCGCGAGACTTCTCGCTTTGCCATTGCAACGTTGCTTTCCAGCTTTGAAATTGTTTGCTCAAACAGTTCGATGACTTCACAAAGCTGGCTTTCCCTTTTCGTGATCATTTTAGCAGCAGACATGATGTTATCCTTTTCGACGTTTGCTGCTTTGTTGAGCACAACAACTTTGTGGTTTTGATGATCCGTGACTATACAAATTTGGCAAATGCAAACTTGACATTGAAAGCAAAAGAATCGTGTAATTTCTCTCTCATGAAACTCTTGAGAACAAAACGGCTGTCGCTTTAGCAGTCCTTCGTAATCTTCTACTTTGAAGTCCTTGACTGGCGTGACTTTGTGTCCTTCAAATGTTGCACTCAGCAACTGATGCGCGTTGAAACAATCGAGGCACATAAATCTTCCACAGTCGAAGCATTAGTACATCTGAGGGTTGTTTTGTCGGCACTGGGAACAAGTAATGCTACTTGCATCGCAGCTCTGTCGAACGGCGAGGAGACTCAACAGACTTATGTGGAAGAAGCTGTTGGGCAAACGGTCGAAGCAATTTCCTTCTGGCAAATCGATCGCAGCCTGACACTCGGGGCATCAGAACTTTCCTTGTCTCTGGCTCACTCTTACATGTTCCTCCAAACACTCGCAGCAAAACGTGTGAAGACATGAAATAGTTTTGGGTTCGATGTAGGTATCAAGGCAAGTGGAGCAAGTCACTTGGTGCTTGATGTTTTTCAAAAGAGACTCCATTACGAGTGATAAACACGAACAGATTCTGTCGAATCAATTAAACAACTGCCGCCTGAAGGGATTGATTTTCAGATTTCTTACAATTGTTGTCTAAGAACTTTATTTCTAAATAATCCTGTTGGTTTAGCGTTTTATCACACTGTAATAAAGCTGCAGGGCTTCTCTATCAACATTTGTGACTTGAAACTATGCAGAGGCACTCCTAACGAAACTGAGCCGGCCGCATCAGTTTCAAGTTATTTTGTTTTGACTTATTTTATTAATCTATTGATGTATTTAATATCTATTTACTTATTTATTTAATTACTTGAAGATTTGCATAAGGTGCAGTTCTTTTTTCTACTCCAATGGTTTTAAAAAGCGACTGAAACCTCTATAAACTAAACCTTTTAGACATTTACTACAAACACTTAACGAGGGGTCAGCTATGCAATATTTTTCGATATTTTTCTTTTGTTGAAAGTGCCATGGCTATGAAATTATTTTACAGCTACATTTTAGTAGCTAACATAACCATGATAATTGGTCACAAGGGTCAGAGGAGTCGTTTCCCACTGTGTTTCTAATTAAATTCACCGTTTAATTGTTACACAACTCGAGTTTGCTAATCCGTCATAAAAGAGCAAACAAACAAAATCTCTCCTCATTCAATTGTGTCAGACTTCGGGTAAACATTACAAAGTCTGTCATAAATGACTGCTGGAACCAGTCACATTCGAAGAGCTTCTTTTTAACACCACACTTTTAATCTGTAGCATGTAGTGAATCTTCGATTGTCGTCTTAAAACTTTTCTTTAGACAGCCCGATATTGCAGTTCGTTGACGAGACGTTATAAAGTTTCAGGATTGATCAGTTGATTCAGTATTAGAAAGTCAAGGAGTTCTAAACAAAAGTGAGAGTGATGGGATCCCGAAAGCAAAAACACACTCTTTCACCAGCTTCATCCGTTAACCATGTTCATTATTTCACTTTTATGAGAGCATACTTGAGGCACAATTACATGTTATGTACTTGAGATTTAAAGAGGTGATTAAAGCTATTCAAAGTGTTCAAAACACATATTCTCCTGGTTAACTCAGGTAATAGTATTTTCCCACACAGTGAGACTATCATGTAACGTCAGATGTTAATACTGAACTCTCAAAATACAACTCAAACTGACTAAAATGAAGCACACATGATTCCCCGTAACTCTGAGTTTCGTGCTTTCGCACTCGTCAGACAGATGAAAGCACGAAACTCTGAGTTACGTGTTTCGTTTTAGTCAGTTTGAATTGTATTCCGCTCTACACTCGTGTGTATTTAGCACCTTCTAGCAGCGTTTACGACAATTTCCCACAATTAACTCTCAAAATATAACTGATATGAAAAAAAAAAAAACATATCTTGGTTGTGCTTGAATTTTTCACTTTACCTGTATTTCCTTAAGGCTCTTTTCAGTCGCAAACGAATCTGTGGTCATCTAAGAACAAATGACAAAACGCACGACTTAGCTTTGCGGCAACGAAACCTCTGCAGCATCGCTAGCAACGAGAGGCCCTACATCTATATCTATTCCATTAATTGGGCGTAGTTTCACGATTCTTTAAAGTTACCTTAATCAGGCGAGAAAATAGCAATCCTCCAGCATAGCGGGTGTACAGCTCGTCCCAATTGTCTTGGACAAATTGCCAGGCGAGTTTGCGCCCTGCTAAACTAAAAAAAAACACAAACAAAGAAAATAAAACTGAAAACTGAAACTTGAAACTGAAACTAGGAGTCCATTACTTGTAATGGGCTCCTGCTGAAACTGATTTACAATACATTTTGCTAAATTGTGAAGCTACTAAACAGATCCCTTTGCTAAGTACCTAATGCTTACCTGCCGGTTACACCAGCAATAACAAAAACAGTATCCTGTGACCGAACCGCACTCTTCAAAAAAGCGTGAAAAAGAAAAAAAATATAATGCATGTAATTAGGAACGAAAAGTAGCGAGAGCACAGGGTTACCATTAACTTAACCATAAACTGCTCCCCCTTCCCCACTCAATGCTGGACAAAAACAGGTTACCCACCAAAAAAAACACCAATAATTGGCAACTTTTACCAAACTCTTATTGCATAGGATCTTAAGCCTACACATCCTATAATAAATATTCATCTTCTCCACACTGTTGTCTATTCATTTCCAGTGGTGCTGACAAGGAGAATTTGTGTGGCAATCAGTAGTAGCTCCCTCAATTGATGATCATGTTTAATATATGTATTCTCATTAACTTTACATTTGATTCAAGAGTGATACTGCATGCAGAAATAAGAAATAAGAATCCAGGCACTCTATATGGTTTTGTTAGCTTAAGAGTATTGTTTCCGTGATTTTCTTGTTTGCTTTGTTTTTGTTTTTTTGTTTTTCTTTTTTTTTTTTTTTGGGGGGGGGGGCAAGGTTAGCGGATATGTTATGAAATAGGTTGTTGTTCCTTGTTCCTCGTGGTAGCTGGATGAAAATTTAAATTTGTTCTGTTGTCTCATGACAAAGTCACTAGATGTACAACGCGACGTTTTGACTGCTTACTACTAACTATGCCGCAAGTCTTCTTCCGGCCATAGTTAGTAGAGGGGACTGGTTATGAAACCCGGTAAACATCAAAGGCCGATGTCTTTGTTATGGTTTTCCCTTAGTCACGTGATCATGACCGTGCACAAGGAAAATCAACATGGCGATCGGAGTGACGTGAATGAGCGGAGACTTACGCTGTATTTCGCCGGATTTTTAGCTTAGATTAATCTCGATTCGATGAGTGTTATAGCTGCACTACTCATAAGTCGTCATGCCTGGAAATAACCGCGCTGTGTTTGGCTGTGGGAGGTGTAGAAGAATGATAGGGATCGGTATTTGGAAGTTGCCCGCAGCGAAGGACGAGGCACACAGGAAGATTGGAGTGACGTGAATGTGCAGAGACTTACGCTGTATTTCGCCAGATTTTTAGCTTAGATTAATCTCGATTCGATGAGTGTTATAGCTACACTACTCATTAGTCGTCATTCTTGGAGATAACCGCGCTGTGTTTGGCTGTGGGAGTTGTAGAAGAATGATAGGGATCGGTATTTGGAAGTTGCCCGCAGCGAAGGACGAGGCACACAGGAAGTGGCAGGACGATTGGTTGAGTGAGATCACAAAGACGCGTGAGATCGACCATGAATTTCGAAAAAGGATCGAAACGACAAGGTGTTTACCTGTAAAAAAACACTTCGACGTAGAAGATTTCGAAATATATAAGTACGGCTGCGATATAAGCTTACAGTAGAAATTGAAGACATGCTCCCGCTTTCCATATGGTTTTGTTTATTTACGATCTCTGTGAAATTTTCTTGAAGGTTAATTTTCACCTTTCTTATTTGTGTTTTACTTTATTTTCAAATGCAGTTCAAACGGCGAAAATGACGAAGGAGAACCCATACTATGTTCCGGCACAGCATTATGTATCATGGTGGTCTGTTGTGATTGGTGCATTTCGATCCGGCGGATATTTTTGTAACAGGGAGCACTTAGTTACATTAGCCAAGAAGAACACTCTTGTATCAAAAAAAATCACCACAAGAAGGTTCAGGTAACGAAGACCAATTTGCACGTTACACGAAAAAAAAGGAAAAACCTTTTAGAACATTGAAGAAATCAAGATTTTGAACCCAAATGAATGCAAATTAACCAAAGAAACTAAGAGACTCACCGACATTGAGAACTCTAACACTTTCTTGATAAGTTCAGGTTGTGACACAGCTCCCATACACCTCATAAGTCGCACTTTCTCTTCATGCAAATCAGCTTCTTTAAACAGTTTCGTCACAGACTCTAAGGTAATATCATCACCGTGTTTAAGAACTGTGCTGTACACCGCTGACCTCAAGTCTGCCGGAATGGTGGATTCACCTTTGCAGTGCGCGTCAAATCTCTTGCGCGCCTGGGCGAGAGTTGCTTCATCACCACTGCGTCCAATGCAACCCAGTACCAGGCCCCTCAACAGCGCATCCAAATGACCTAGGACAATAGTTTCACAATTAAACCCATTCTTATAGTCAAGCCAGTTTAAAGTCAGCAAATGGGGCACTGCACTTTTGGAGAATGTTGTCGTTCTCCCGCGCCTTTTGTCAGACTTACCTGACAGTTTTCTGCTGCCTTGGCTGGAGAGAGGCACTGTTAGTGCAGGGTCTCAAACAAGACTGACTTAATACAAGGACCAGGCCAATTGCCCAGACTTGAACGCAAACCACCCAATTTAGCGCCCTACTTATTCGTCTAATACGTATTCAACATGCATAGAGAAAAGCCCCCGTGTCGTCGAGGGCTTAAAGGACAGAGGATAAGCTTAGCCCGCAAGAGAGTTGGATAAACTCGACAACAGGCCTATTTAAGCCACAGAATCATCAAAATTGAATGCATGAAGGGATAAACCTTGAATGATATAGGGTGTGGATGAAATTTGAAGTACTTGTTCCACGTTGGAGAACGCACCATTCTCGAACTATACGCCCTTAGAGTTCGAAAAATGTCTGTAAATTGAGGATTGCGTTTTTTTCTGTTACCTTCACCATCTTTTGGGTCCCATCCAACTTTCTGGGCAATTTGTTCATACAGCTTTATACAGAAGGCCTGGAAGCTAGAGTAGAACCCAGTGTTCTGTAACAACTTGGACAAGCTGCTCATGTTTGTTGTTAGGTCATTCCATACTGTATAGTTTGTTTCGTTGCTGTATTGTTCAGCTAATTTAAGGAATTCTGTTGTAGACGTCAGACCCGCTTGCGCCTGAAGAATAGGATTGTTTAAAATTGGCATGAGAATTAGACCTCTCAGCTAGTTTTCTAGGAAAGGCTTTCGAAAGAAAGATTTATGTTCAGACGACGAATTTAAGTCTACAAAAAATTGAGTGGAAAAGAAATTCTGTACGTGAAAGTTTGTTACACAGGCTACAAGCAGACAAACTTAAATCCATCTCCCAATGAAACATTAACTAACCCTATGGAAAGTTTTTTTTAATAAGCCAGTAAAAAAATTATGACGCGGATTTTACGAGAGTAGGAGTAAAGATTTCAAGAAAAATTCTTCATGTTTATAAAACCTTTCGATTGTTTCGTGGTATCTACCAAGAGATTCTTTCAAGAAAGCCGACCGGAAGTGAAGCCATTGAACATACCAGTGCAAAGAGATCGCTTTGCAGACCCAATCTGTCCCTTGCTGGAAGACTGTGGTCCTTAATGGCCGGCAGGAGAAGATCTAACATGTCGGAGGAGTATTGTACTCGGTAAAAACCGACTTGGCCTGGATTTAACTAAGAGAGCAATGTGTTATTACTTAGTTCTGGTATTGCACAGAGTTAGTAAATCCATTTCTGGTGGACACGAGTGATAACTTAAAGCAAGTTTTGCTTTCGCCCCTCCCACTGCTCCCATTCCTTTTCACTTCTTTCACGGATGGGATGCGAGTTAGTCACAAGTTACCCCTCCCCTCCCCTCCCCTCGCCTCCAAAGTTTATTCACTAGTACAGCCGTAGTTTGCCCAGAGCGCTGGTTTGTTTCACAAAAATTGTATCGCAACTAAAAACCAATGACGATACTTCCTCATTAATTCACCTTAATCCACTGATCTTTTCCAACTCCACTGACTGTTACTGTACAGGTATTGTCTTCTAACAACGTTTCAGCTGCGGCGGCGGAAGGACTGGTACTAGTGCAAACCGCTATTGGTACTTTCCATTGGAAAGAGTCTTGCGAGGGGAAAAAAAAATGGAAGAGAAAAGCACAAAGTACTACTTCATTTTCCTGTATATATTTCATACATTTTCACATTAATTACTGCGTTTTCTTTTCCATTAAGATTCTTAAAATAATTTATCAGCTCAAACAGGTAAGGTAATATCTGCCGGCATCACTCTGTTCAAATAATGTTCATATTTTTATCCAAGGTTTATCAATTACAAGCACCTTCAGTTTTCCCATCAGCTGAAAATTTCGTCTGTGTTATGGTGACCACCACATCTTCCCCTTTCTAAAAGGAAAAAGAGATGTAATCATATTCGTCTCGTGTGACTCTGCCAGCGCTCATTACAGTGGAATAACGTTTCGTTGATAGAGACAAACGATTTCCCTATTACAAATGTAAAGCTTTTCTGAATTACCAATATCCTACTCGTCTGGGTAAAGTTGCCCGGTGCACAATAGAAAATAATGCAGACTGAGTTCGTCTGCCAATGCAAAGCTTGCGTAACGCTGTGAACGCAACATACGCCCGTTATCATTTAACATGAATGCCGGCCACACATGGGTCTGATCAAATTGTTAAGTTTTGCTGCTAATTAAGGTCCCCCTTCCCCCGTAAATTTTCTATCCTTATTGCCATGGCGACCAAACGATCACAGCTTGGCAAGCTAGCTCTTTCCTTTTCTGCTGTAACGGACAACACAGGATATCCCATTTGTTTGGTCCACGTTTCCATGACATCAGCTACAGGTTTCGAACTGGCATGAGACAGACTGGCCCAGAGGTCCTCTTCAGAGGGTAACAAAAGGGAATAATAATCAAATAAAACAATGTTAAGAAATACTTTCAGACTGCCATAATGGAACCATAATTTATAGGTTTTAGGTTTTATAACTCTTCACAGAAAGGCTGGTTAAAAGGGGGAAAGTTTCCAAAGAAACTGGGATGTCCCATCAGTGGGTGGTAAAACAAGATAATTGGGTTTTAAGTTATCAGAGTTGTAAATTGGCCACAGTAAAGAGGTTCTAAAGCTCACGCATTGAGCATTAGCCCTTCATCAGAGCTTTGCAATATGAATAGCAACAACTAGTCCCAGCTAACCTGTGGAAGCAGCATTGTACTCAAAGGTCTTCAGGTAGTGATTTAGACCTTTCCTAAATTCCTGTAGTGAATAGAAGTATTTATACTTGTCTTATAACATAAAAAACATTTTCTTGCAAATCATTTGCTTACTTGAAAACAGTTGCTCACGTCAGCAGTGTGCAGCCATGGGCAAATAGTAGACACTAAATTGACCAATCAGAGCAGGCACTTTAAGTGATTTATGATATTAGAAGAAATGAGATCTTGATAATAACTTACTTGATTGCCTACATACTGATGTAACATTCTGATCACTGATGCACCCTTGTTGTAGCATATTGTATCAAAAATCTCATCTATTTCCCCCGGGTGGCCTACTGGAACCTGAAACACATTTCACTTCAATCTCTTTACACAATGCATTACATGTGAACTATCTTCAATCACTGTCAGAGGAGATCTGGTACTGACACATAAGCGCAAACTGAAAACCGTACCTGTCAAATGGAATTCAACCAACAGAAATGATTAAATGTAAGGCTGCTTCAAGAGGAACATTAACCTTCTAAGCTCCACTGACAACTATTATTTTAAATAAACCGTCTATATAAGCCAAGCAGAAGTTTAAAGAAATTACAAACAGTCAGTAGGAAGTCTGTGATTGTTTTGAGATGTTGAGCTCATTAGAGGAGGTGATAAGTATCTCATAGAAGTAAAGAAAAGTACTAACATAGGAAAATGCAATTTCAGAAAATCTTAAAAAGCAGTGATGTAAGTCCATGATAATTAATCAATGTACTTGCAAGCATTTACATAATTTGCATCAAATACTTATAATAAAAATATATTTTTCAAAAATTTTACCTCAATTGGATGACTTGAGTGTACAAGGGAATCATATGAGAGAGAAAACATAACACAGATTATAAGTTAGAAGACGCTAATACTTAAAACTGAAACAAATTGCATATTAGTCATGATTCATTTGCCCTTGGTCTGAAACTACTAACAAAGTGGCTATATGCAGTATGCTTCCTACACTGTGAGTAAAAGGCTTTAATTGCCTGACGCAAATAATTAGTACCTGTTATTCAATGCATCAAGTTTCAAGGCACTGGCAAAATCAGTGCTCACGAACTGTGTCCACACATCAAACTCTGGAAAGCAGTGATCAACCAGGAGATACTCAATCCATGAAGCAAACCCTTCTTTAAGCCACAAGTGTGTCCACCATTCCTGGAAAGCAAAAAAGTAAAGACTATAAAATCACAAATTAACCACAATAACCCGGTAATGGCAAATCCACGTCAACTTGATGTATGCAAACAAGAGAAGGTGCAAAAAGTGTTTATATCAAATTTCCAAAAAGAGGATATCTCACCACTGTCACCTGAAAACAAAAAATTAGAAAGGAGTCAAATATATTGAATTAATAGATGCAAAAATACAAATCTAATGATTATAATGATAACAATATAATTTATAAATTTAACACCAATATCAAAAGAGAGGTAATTGAGTGAAATCAAATTATAAATAATTATATAATTACCAAATTTCCAAACCACATATGAGCAAGTTCATGACCTGAAAAACATGAAGCAGTTTCAATACAAATGAGCTCTTGGAATAACATTTGTAGGTCTCCACAAAAATCAGTTGAAGGGTTTAATGGAAAAATGACCCATATAGGGACGGTACAAAACACGGACCCCCCTTCTGGACCCCTTCTGGACCCTGTTCTGGACCCCCTTCTGGACCCCCCTAACTAGATTAAGAAAAGATGAAAACAATAATACCTGGTGCGAATTAGGAGGTCGTTATCAAAGTGGCATTTCATGCTACAACCATTTACCTTAATCCTCAAAAAGTGCTACTAGAAATGTTAATTCTCCTGTACACGTGTGCTATCGTGGGTGCCACTTTGTTTATAAGTTTGACTGGGGACCACGGCACAAGGCTACAAAACTTCCGGTGTTTCCTCTGATCCTCTGAAAATTGTGGTCATCCATATATGGACCTCTATGGTGGAATGTTGAAGGTAGGTGTGTGATTTTTTCGCATTTTGTATGCAATCTCGACATTCCTGAAGTCATCGATAACCAATCACAACATTTTCTTACCAGACAATCACACACCTTACCTTCAACATTCCACCCTAGAGCTTTGTGTATGGTGACCACAATTTTTTTGGTCAGCGGTGGTAGCCAAGGACATGGGATGATGCAATCAAAATGGCGGAATAATCTGATCGGTCGATCAGAGGAAAAGACCAGAAGTTTTGTAGCCTTGTGCCAAGGTCCTCACTCTAACTTAGAAACAAAATGGATTCCACAATAGCACACAGGAGAATTAACATTTCTAGTGGCACTTTTTGAAAGTTCAGGCAAATGTTTGTAGCATGAAATGCCACTTTGATAATGACCTCCTAAGTCGCACCAGGTATTTATTGTTTTCATCCTTTCTTAATCTAGTTAGAGAGGTCCAGAAGGGGGTCCAGAAGGGGGTCCAAAATGGGGTCCAAAAGGGGGATCCAGAATGAGGGTCCACATTTTGTACCATCCCACCCATATAGATGTAGGGTAGACAAAAATTTAGATTCTCCTTTCAAATTACCCTCTTTAGTTTCCCCATACAGAGCAATTGATACAAAGTTGTTGCCTCAATAGTCTTTTTTATGCATTGTTCCACACACTCCTTTGATTGCTTTTGAAAATACATTATAGGCATGACCAGGCATGTCAACATGTCCACCCACGCAATCAGTCGGTTCACAAAACCATTCCATAAGTAACACACTTCTTCACTCACCAACAACTAAAGCCACATACTGTTTAGCTGCTGAAGAAGAATCACTTGGATCTATCAACAGGCAGGTTTCCCTTAAAGCAAAAAAGTCAACATCAGACAGGTCAGCTGAGATGTGAATAGTTAACATTTAGTACGAATAAATGATGAAAAAAAATGCATTTCATGATATTGTTCACGTCAGTACACCAATCTACATGTTCAAGTCTTAAGTCAGACCAATTGACTTCATACGCTTAAACAGACACCTGTGTTCCACACCCTAATAATTACACTAATTAAAAATACAAAATATTTTGAAAAAATAAATTAGCATTATTTCTACCCAAGAAGACTCTTCATACCTGTATGTGACCAGACCCCAGTTTTCCATAGCCCCTGTTACAGAATATAGAATAGGGGGCTTAATAATTGCTTAATTATAAGGTCAAACTCAGATTATTTCTAATTATTAATAATATCTTATACTAGGCACCAAAATGAAGAATTCTGACATCACTATATTATTACTGTGAGAGCGTCCAATGTCTTGTAAAACATATCGGAAAAAAAGACAATTATGATACAAGCAAATAAGAAATCTTGAAAGTATACCTATGACAAAGTCTTGAATTGCAATCAGGTCAAGCTTTGGTAAAAGGTAACCAATCCCAAAATATTCTTTGTAAAAAGGCAAGCACTTCTTAGCAACCTGAAAAGATTTATCGACAATCACTGAACTATTTTAGGCCTCAATGGAGTGATATCACAGTAAAAATTTCACCTTACAAATTATTGATACACTATCAAGCAGGCAGAAGATGCAAATTGTCCTTTGCCTCAACAATAAAACCTCAGAAACAATATTGTTGGAAATGTATGACAGACAGCAAGAAGAATTACTGTGGAAATAGGTAGGAATTGGGAAAGATTTGTCATACACCTTGCAAGACTGACCTCTAAAGCAAACTGTCCCTGGACAGCTTTCCCCTTTGGTGTATAAACTCTGATGATTACACCATTTGCATCTTTTCCTTCCACAAAATCAAACTCCCCAACAACAAAAGCCACAAGGTATGTAGACATGACAGGTGTCCTGGCATACTTAACTACTTTAAGGGAAGTGTCTTCTGTGTGATCTTTCTCCTCTTTTACATTCTGAAAATTTATGGAAATTTATGTAAAATGTAGAGAAAGTCATTTTTACAAACTTAATTATAAACAGTTTCCCCTTTTATATATTTCATGTTGACTTTACCGTTCAATTAGAGAGGTTACAAGCCTAGTAGAAATGAGTATGTGACAAAACAGAGTACAGTCATTGTGTTAAAAGTGCTAACAAAAGGTTTCAATAATGACTCTGATCATTAAGAGTGACTAGCATCTAATTTCTCCTTACAATATCACCCCTGAATCCCACATTAAGGTCAGGAGAATAAAGGAAATGATCACCAACTAAAAAAGCTCTTGATTGTTGAACAAATTCTCATAATCAGCACTTTCTGAAATGTTAGTAGAAAGTAGCATGGAGAATATATACATACTAAAGTTAGGGAGTAATGGGTGAACTAATATAATGGAATTTAACAAAAGTTCATTTACTATCATTTACTTAACACTATCTGTGACGATTATTAACCATAAAATGCCCTAAAAAGGTAGATAACCTAAATTTAATTCATTAAATCCATAACAAACATTCAAAGTAAATGTCCTCATGCATTTCCATTCCTTTGCTCTTAAGTATGTCCTGCATTAAAGTTTGTAGGTGAAAACCTTGCAGTCACTGTAACCTTATATTAATCAGGTTGAAGCTATTTATGAATTAATGCAATTAATTATTGAATTATCTTTACCATGTTTGATAGAGCCACTCTGTCCTTTGGAACAATCAAGGTGATATCAAAAGTAGCACGAATGGCTGGTTCATCCCAACATGGAAATGCTCGACGAGCCCCTGTTGGCTGAGCAGTAAAACATAATTTAATATAGTTGTACTAACAAATTAAGTTCATCTAAATGCCATATCTAAGTACAAAATGTGTAACTTCTAGCTAAGACTGGTATAATCATTTATCAATACAAGTGTCATTTAACTTAGTTTCAGATTCTAAATTATCCAAACTTGATTATCGGGTTTGTCACTTCTCAGAGAAAAAAATGATTACCCAGTAATTTTCTCCCGGGGCAACACTACACTTATGGTGGAGCTACAGATCCTTCACAACAAGGCTGCGCAAATCATTTTAGATCTTCCCCTACTGCTTCTGCGAGCGATGCACTTTCAAAGCTCCATTGGAAACCTCTAGAATTAGGCAGAGAGCAGAGCATCGTGCTATTTTTATGTTTAAGGTAGTTAATAACCTTTTTATGCACACTTTTCACTGCTCTTTTAACAGCAACTATCAGAACTATAATACACGATCCAAGCAAAATATCCGCAAATCACTCACACACAGAAGATGGGGGCACTGGATAACAACAAATTTTGCAGCGGATGCTTGGAATGCCTTACCCCTTTCCCTAAGAGATGTGCCCTCCTTAAGCCAATTTAAGCGTGATATCAAGAAAGCACTATTTTAATTAATTTCGTTTTTCGCATGTTAATTTTCAAATTAATGTAGTTTTATCTTCATATTTTTCGATATGTTTTTTTTTTTATTTATATTTTTAAGTAATTATAATTATTTTATGTAGTTACCTTTAGAGGACCCCTCTGTAAACCACTTTTTTGTCATGTTGGAATCCTCAATAAAGATTAACTATTATTATTATTATTATTATTATTATTATTATAGCTATGTTAAGGTTGTATTCATGAGTTCCGTTTTACTAGCACAGAGACAACTATCAGAAATGTTTCACATTTACAGCTACTTGGTAGTTAATAACTGGGGGTATAGACACCAAAACTGCAACACTATCATAATGATTATAACATTTTTTTTTAAATTTAAAATCCCTGAAGTTTCATCTTTGACCATATAACTTTAGTAAAGCTGCAAAAAGCTTAGAAACTGCTTAACTTTTAGAAAAAATTTTGATACACTGTAGAATTTGCAGGACTGGTTGTAAATGAGAAAAAAATGAATTACTGATCAATTATGTGACTGTAGGAAAATTATCTAACCTCAAAATGAGTGACAGCACAGAACTTCTCACTACCATCCTCCCCTGAATATTTACATCTGTAAAATCCTTTCAATTTTTTGTTCAATTCTCCAGTGAAGTCCAGGCACAGTTCACCTTGGCCCAAAGGAAGTGGTGATGCAAAACTTATTTCCACTGTTTCATCCTCAAAATGGTGACAGATACTAGAAGATGGGTAACCTGCAATGAAAGCAAATTACCTTCCAGTTGTTAATTCATTTGTTGCAAAAGGATCAAAGAAAAATAGAGAGACGTCTTAAGATGTTTTCCATTAATTGTGCAAGTCCTGGAATTTAGTTTAGCATCCTGCCCCCCTCCACACTCCATCTCTCAACATTCTTTGGAACAAAAAAACACTTTTGGCTTTCCAGTTTAGATAACCCTTCTACTGATAGCTAACGATATTTTCTTAAAATGCATTATAACACTGAAAGTTGATTCAGAAACTTATTGTACCTGCTATGTGTCAAATTATCAATTCTGCTAACCGTATTTCCGGTCAAATAAGCACCCAAAGGCATGCTCTTATAAGTGCCCTTCACAGAATAAGTGCCCTCTCCGTAAGCCATAACATCAAAAAGGCACCCCCCCCACAAGAAATCACCCTCCCCCTCACTTTCTTAAATTAATAAGCCTCGAAGGAAAACCTATTTATATTTATAACTTTTTAAGCTTCAACTGCAGCTGAATCAAAACAGGAGAAAAATAAGCACCCCCATCAATTAGGCCCCTATCCTTCCAATAAGTGCCCCCTCCCCCCTCCAACCACCAACACCACTTTTACCCACGATTTTCAATAAGTCAATAAGTGCCCATGTGCTTATATTGAAGACAATATAGTATATAAAAGGTTAGCCATACCTCAAGCAGTATGTAACATAAAATTCTGGTATATAGTTACCATATAGTACTTACTTTGTTCTCCTAAAGAAAAACTGGCTGAAGTGACATTTATATCCAGACAGTTGATAATTACTTTGTCAGTTTCTTGTTTTACCTTAAAAAAAAAATTAAGACATTTCATTTCAAAGAAAATAAAACAAAGACAGATTTTGCCATTTCCACAAAGGTGGAAATTCTAGCAGGGCTGTTAGTTGTTAATGAGAAACTGCTGCACTGCACCAGCAGGAAAATGAAACAGTTAGTCTGTTATCACCTACAAGATAATAAAATAAGGGACATGAGCGATGTATTTATTTTCTTTGCCACTGATTCAGTATACTAAGCCAGCTAAATCACACCCAAACTTTCATGTTAAGAGATCATAATTTTTAGCACTAATGGAACAGTTCTTAGAATATGATCTTCAAATTTACTCACCCCTACACCCCTAAACAGCAAAAACAGGATAAGGGTGGAGCTAGGGAACAGTTGTTCCCCTTTCTTTACAACAATTCTCCACAACATCAGTTCTTGAGGGCATATAATTTATAAATGTAAAACATAAATTATAGTTATCTCCATTTACTGGTTCGGCATCAATCTTAATTGAAAATATCACCTGATCTCAAACTTTGTTTGCAGCAAACACTTGATTATTAAACAAAAATATTAAGATGTCCCATAGACGAAGGAAAAACAAAAGAATTGAACCACGACGTGAGCACAGAACACGATTTCCTTCTTAACCCCTTCAGGTTGTTAATACCTCTACATCGATCACTTCCTCTCCAGTAAAGGTGAATTCTGTGAGACTTGGCTGCAAAGTCAGTTTGTAGTTCTTTGGGAGCACGCTTGCGGGAAGTCGTTCGAAAGGTTTCTTTACGCTGCTCATTGTTGCTGCAGTGATGCTGAAGCGTGTAATGCAAGACACAAAAACTTTTAAACTAGCTCCAAGGGAGCAAGAAGGCCGAAATACAAGCCTGGAGAGAATTGTAATGGTATTTTGATTGGAAGACAAGTGAAAACTAAAATCGTGCTCACTTGGAGGAAATGTTCACCCCAGTGCCTTTCGGATTCCTCCATCACGCATGTTGATATTGTGTGACAGCCTAGGGGTAACGCAAGGATAAAACTAAAATGCTTGACTTTCCTTGGTTGTTATGGCAACACGCAATTGCCTCTCCAGCTCTTTAAGGGAAGATTTGCTCGGCATCCTTAACCCTTTAACGCCCATAAGTGATTAACAAGTGACTTCACCCTAGAATATTCACACATTGTCCAGCTAACAGGTAATGAGAATAATCAAACTAATCAGGTAATTTGGATATATCAACTAGTTAATTTAATTTTAATTTAATTTAATTTTTTTTTTAATTTAGTCCATTTTCACTGCATTAAGTTTTTGCAGTGGGGAAGGACTAGAAAGGAACATAGGAACCATTCGTGCTAGTCCACCCTCCCACCCATCCCACTCCAGGGGGGGACATCCATCAAACAGTAATCTCGTGTGTGGGAAATTAACGTTTCCTACCCCAACCCTGCAGGAGACGGGACCTCTATTTATTCGTCCCTATCCGAGAAGACTAGAATATCTAACCATTTCTTGATGTTATAGAAAGGTAGCAAATTCTTCTCAATTATTTTAAGACCTTGAGTGTTGGTCCGGCCGGGGCTCGAACCCTCGACCTCCCGCACAACAGTCCAGCGCTCTATCCATTGAGCTAACCGGGAGGCGTCCTATACGNTAAAATGGAACAATCACATTAAAGCTACTGTCACCAAGGCTTCTAAACGCCTACACATACTCAGAGTGCTCCGTCGAGGGGTTATGGAGATGAATGATTTAACCACTATCTATATCTCAGATACGATCTGTTCTTGAATATTTTTGTGGTTAGTATGGCACCACGCCTTCCCATCCTACCTTTCACAAGAGCTAGAATGAATACAGAAGCGTGCTCTTAAAATCATACTACCTACTTTATCTTACCCAGAAGCTCTGCAATTCCTTAAATTATGAACATTAGTTGAAAGATGTAGTGAACTTTGTGTTAAAACTCTTGAAAATATCTCAAGAGGAGGGCCACTTTTTAAACACCTCCCGAAAGAAAGAAAGCAAGTGCATCAGTATCAATTGAGGAACGCTAGTAATTTTTCAGTGACTAAATGCAGGACCGAAAGACTGCGCCGCAGCATTTTCCCAAGGACTATTTTAGCCTTCAACAAATAAGAGTTTCTTTTCATATATATTTGCATACCCACATAATTAAATGTTAATTGTTAATTAATTATCTTGTATTTCTAAACCCATTGTAGCCCAGTCCCTATCCACGCATGTAATTTTATATATTTGTTAAATAATTGTAACCACATTGTAATTCAGATTTTCTGTGAAAATGTGAGAAATAAACTTATCTACCTACCTACTTATCTACCTACCCCCACCGACGCAGCCCCAAACAGTTTCTTTAGAAACTATCAGCCTTTAAACTAATCAGGTAGTTCTTTCCTTGGTTCTAGAAACCAAATTCTCGTAACTAATTCACAGGGAAATATGTGGCAGCCTCAAGGGAGAATTACAAATAAAATCTTGGGAGTTCAATGGTTGCGAAGGAGACTATCTAATCACAGCATTCACAGAAAACAAATCAGTTTGGAAACATCTTGCAGGAAACTGACTTTTAATAGTAAGCTTTAAGTCTGACTACACTCACTCGCGCATGCGTGCAGACCTTTCCTCTTCACCTCAGGGACCAGTCATTTTGAGGGGAGAGTGGAGGGGAGATCAGTCGCCGCTAACAGAGTGTAAGGGAAGACTAAGACAACTGATCATAAGACATAAGAATACCGCAGAGCCGGGGGAGCGGTAAATTTTATTGCGACACAACCCAAATCTTCCGCCCCTCAGGAGTTATGTAATCAGTGTCGGGTCTATGGGAGGGGCCCTTCCCTTATTTTGGGTAAAAATAAACAAAAAACCGGGTCCCCGCTTAGCTCAAGGTCGGGATCCGTCACTGATGACCAGCGCTTTACTGCGCGCAACAAAGGACAAACGAGAGGAGATCTCTGCATACAGGCTTAATACACTGCACTTAGCGAAAATTAATTATCCGGGGTGAGGACTTTTATTGGTGTAATTATAATGAAATTTTCTATTTCTCGAAGTTTGTCTGTAGAATGAAAAACGGATTTAGCCGGTCACGTGCATCTAATATCCTTTCTCCTTGAGCCATGTGCTGATCCTATCTGATTCGCGCCCAAGCCACGCGCAGTTGAGTCGTATGTTCTCCAATGACTGCTGAATGGTCCTCTCTGCAGCAGGTACTGAACGGTTGGCGAAGAATTCCTGAAAAAAAGTAAAAGAATAAAAGGGAAGTCCTAGGCCACACACTACGCCAGGAAAAATTGACAGTGCCATTATTTTTTCCCCTTTTTTCGAACACTTTTTGTTTCGTTGGGGCGCTGTGTAAGCTGTGCACGAACGTGAAAGCGAAGGAATCAGTAAGACACCATATATCAACCAAGAGAATGAGCAGCTCACCTCGACTTCTTTGGCAGCCTCTTCAGTGACAAACATATCTGTAGTTGACTGCAACAAAACAAAACAAATAAAGCAAGTAATGAAACAAATGAACTCGTCATAATGTGTTTTTCACGAGCAGAAGGGGTCCTTCCGACGGGTAACAAGCGCGTTCGAGAATAATCTAATTACTTTTAAGCAACTTCAGTTTAAAAACTGCTTCTTTACTACGTACATTAGTTGGGAAAACTGGCGCTAACCTCTCCTACATCCACTACTAAATCGCACTTTGTAACTCGAATTTTTCCGAGATTCAGGCAGTTAGCATGAGTTTAAGTTGTTTTCCTTTATTTTGATTGGTTTTAAAACACTTAATCTAAATGCGCTCTAGGAAATAAGAGACGCTATCAAACCTTGATCAGACGAGAAAGCAGGAAACCTCCTTCGTAGCGATTGTGCAGCTCGTCCCAGTTCTCTTGCACAAATTTCCACGCCATCTCACGTCCTTTCACACTACACATCAGCGAAAGAAAAGAAAAGGCCAACATTCTCAGTCTTCAAAAACGACATGATGTCAATTAATAAAAAATAAGTAATACCTTACCTTCCACAAACGCCAGCAATTACGAACACTGTGTCTTGGGACCGAACCTCTTCCTAAAAACACAAAGTATTTCATTACCTACTGTGACGTAAAAGGATTTTCAAAGACGCATACAACTCTTAAAGGTGGTAGTCGGATAGCATGGTATGGCATCAACAGTACCTTGACCTAATCTAAGTAAGACAGTACTGTCAACGAAAATTTCGATTGACTGTCAGGGCTCGAAATTAACGGTAACCCGTTAACCAATGGTTGGTAATTTTCAACGTTTGGTTACTAAAAAATGTGTCCAACTAACCCGACATGGTTAGTAAAATTTTCTAACATATTTAAACATTGGTAGAATTCGCTACAAAAAGCACGGAGACCCAACTCTCAGAGGAATACTTAGAATACTCAAGTTATTAAATCAACTTAAACTCTTTTTAGAGAATGTGCTGTAGATGTACTGTTCTTGACTAATCATGGTAAACGAGAGGGAAATAAAATAAGTGCATAATTGTCAACGTTTTTAAGGTCACCATGGAATTTCAGCTACTCTTTAATTTGTCCTAGTCGTTATTATCAAAATGTTCAATATTTGAGATATCGTAACTTGTGAGCTAGGATACCAAACTTTATAATTTGGTTAGTAAAAAAGATGTCTAACCCGAAGGGTTAGTGCTCCAAAAATTAAATTCGAGCCCTGACTATGGAAGCTTATCCAGGATCGCATTGGCTTTGCTCTGTAAATGGCCACAATGTTAACCAATCAGATCATGATGCAGAAACAACCCCACGTACGATTGGTTCCTTTATTTTTCCCGCGCTTAGGCCAGCCTGCATGTATAAACTGTGAATTCTCATTGGTTACTTGTGATATTTATCATCGTTTTGATTGGCCAATGTATTACTTCCGGTTTGATTTTCCGTCACGCAACAGAGATACACCCAATAGTCTCACAAAGTTTCTGTTGCGATTGTGACATCTGAACAAACCATGGGGTACTTGAATAAAGAAAAATTAGACGCCATGCTATGTTACAAACGGTGGAAAAAAATTATAAACAGTTAAGTAAAAACGTACCGACATGGAGAAGTCGCAAACTTTCTTGATCAGTTCAGGTTGTGACACAGCTCCCATGCATCTCATTAGTCGGACTTTCTCTTCATGCAAATCAGCTCCTTTCAAAAGTTGCATCACAGATTGCAGGGTATTATCATCTCCGTGCTTAAGAACTGTGCTGTACACCGCTGACCTCAAGTCTGCCGGGATGGTGGATTCACCCTTGCAGTGTGCTTCAAATCTCTTCTGCGCCTCGGCGACAGTGGCTGGGTGACCATATTTACCCAAACGTCCGACTATCAAACCTCTGAGGAGCGCATCAAGATGACCTGATAATGAACGACAAACTAGTGACTAGAATCTAATTTCTCCTTACAATATCACCCCTGCATCGCACATTAAGGTCAAGAGAATAAAGAAAATGATCACCAACTGAAGAAGCTCTTGATTGTTAAACAAATTCTCCTTGTCAGCACCTTAGGAAATGTATACAGAACAGTATGGAGAATATGCATATCGATGTAAGGGTGTAAAGGGTTGACCCCTCCACACTGTTCTCTATACATTTTCTAAGGTGATGACTAGGAGAATTTGTTTGAAAATCAAAAGCTTCTTTAGTTGGTGATCACTTCCATTATCCTAATGACCTTTCCTTTTGATGTAAACGTGGGTTAAAACGTGAAAACAAGTTTCATTCCTTACAATGAATGGTCGTGATGAAGAAAAAAGAATGCGTCACACAATAAAGCAATAGAAAGCGTGGACCACTGACACTGACACCTTACCAAAACGTCACGGTTGCGTGACATGTCTTCCAAGAAAAATTGGTGACCGAAGCCGTCCGTCGATTGGCCGAAAGTCGGCCGACTAGTCACCG